GCCCCCATCCCACTCCCACATTCGGGAGCTCCTTGTACCATTGTCCCCTTTCCCCCTGTCCATGCATCATTCTGGTCCCTTTCTCTGCCCCGTCCCCATCTCTACCCTGTCTTCTCTCGTGGCCCTACCCCTCTTCTTCTCTACCTGCAGATCTACGAGTATCGGAACGGCCACCAGGAGGTGGAGAGCCCCTTCCAGGGTCGCCTGCAGTGGAATGGGAGCAAAGACTTGCAGGACGTGTCCATCACTGTGCTCAACGTCACCCTGAACGACTCTGGCCTCTACACCTGCAACGTGTCCCGGGAGTTTGAGTTCGAGGCACATCGTCCCTTTGTGAAGACCACACGGCTGATCCCCCTCCGAGTCACCGAGGAGGGTAAGGCCGGGCATTGGCTCTCTAGGGTGCTTGGCTCTCAGGGGAGGGAGAACAGGGGGTTTCCACACAAATAAGCCCCTTGCAGAATGCAGAACCCCACGTATTTGGAGTGGTGATACCTAACAACGTCACCACCAAATTGTCTTCCTGTAGTGGCCAGCCTCCTGAAAGCTGCCGAGAGCTCACCTCTCTGTGCCTCTCCTCAAAGCGGAAAGGCATGGAGATGATCATGCAGTGATCTTTACCTGCGGGATCGTCCTTGGAGAAAGCGGACAGCCTCCTTGAAGGCTTCACAAGTCGGAAGAGTGATATACGTATCTCTCTGTGTGTTTTCTCACCCAGGCCAAGGATGATTCCGTTTTACTCAGCCTTTCTCAAACAATGCGTTTCTAGCATGTCCTTAGCACTTTGGCTGCCCCAGGATGCAAGACAGGGAACAGGCAAAAGCGATGGGGCAGGAGACAAAGGAGTGGTCCAATTAAAGACAGGCTCTTCCTAGAAAAGAATGCCCGTAGCCCTGACTCCCAGGCCACAGGCATATTTGCTTTTTACCTGCTATGGTGATAAAATTCATGAAGCAAACGAGAGCGAACAACAGAGTAAGAGATGCCACGATTTAGTCATGATTCAGACAAGACTGAAGCGGCAGGTAGGTCTGTCCTGACGGTGCAGGACTCTCAGGCCACTTGGCTCAGCCCTGATGAGCCACTTCCCCGCTCCGAGCCTGTCTCCTCTTATGCAAAATGATGGGTTGGACTGGAAGCTCTCTAAGGTATTTTTCTGTTCAGATGTTCCATTATCTTCTGTTTCCACACCTCTCCTCCCTGGGGGAAGGGAGCCTGGCGCCCTCTACTGTTCACCGCCAGGACTGTCAGCTGGTGACTGCAGGTACTAGGAAGCTGCTTCTGTCCCCACCTCCTGCCCTCAAAGGCTTTTGCCTCCAGAGCCCCTCGTGCAGGTGCAGCCAGTGGAAAGCGTGGCAGAGCAGGGTCAGTCCGCCTGCCGGATACCAGAGCCAGACTTGGGTGAGAACACAGGGAAACAAGCTTGCTCTCAGAGCCACAGAGCCTCTGGGGATGTTAGGGCTGGAAGGAAGCATGGCTGCCTTTTAATTCAGGAGTTCTGAACAAAGAGCGGGCACCAGAATCACGCAGAGGGCTTTCCTTCAGTGTCGGCGTCTCCATACCGCTCTTGCGGGTGTGAGTTCAGTAGGCTGGGGTGCAGCCTGGCGAAGGTAAGTTGAAATGACTCCCCAGGTGACTGGAGGGCGCTGCTCTGGTGCCCTCATTTTGTGGCTGGGAGATAGAGCTCTGGAAGGTGACGGCTTGCCTGGGGATGTGAAGCACATTGGCCCAGAAGGAGGACTGCAATCCAGCACTGTGCCTCTCTCTATTAGCTCTATTTCCACTTCATCTTTTTCTTCTGCCACCATCCCATTTTGTTTTTCTTTCTTTCCCTTCTCTGTGAACTCTTGGCAGTGCCGCCACCACCACCCCCAGATGCTCACTGCTCTCATACTGCTCTGAGCTCCACTCTCCACCACAACACACTCCCCCTTGCCCTGAGTCTGCTCCACCCCTGTGGTCCCAGAGAATGACCCTGCTTCTCTTTGTTCAGCTGGACTGGTCCCAGCTTAGGCTCTCCCCTCCTGGCTCTAAGACAGAAATCTGAGGTCTGTTCACCTAGAGGTAACTAAAGCTACTAAGGACAGCTTCCTGCGGTACTGCTGCTGGGCGATCACATTTAGAAAGACAGCGCGTGCTTTAAGGCGAGCACATCACAGTTCAGGCTGTGGCAAGCCCGCGAGAAGACGTTTGAAGTGTACACCCTTCTCCCGGGCCTCAAGATGCATCTGCGACCTCCAGCTCCCGTTAGGAGACCTGGGGGATCCTGGAGACCTTAGATGGCCTCTCTGAGCTGAAGGTCATGGCTGTGGCTATGCTGTGCTTTTAATGAGCAAGGCCTTGGGGATGACTTGGACCCTAAGGATAACCGAGGACCATGAATCTAATTTGCTGCCGAGAGCTAGCAAGGAGAGATGTGGCTGCAGCCTTCCTCCCCACTAGGAAAGAATATATTTCAGGACATATCCCATATGTCGTGTTTTATTGTCATTTTGTTGGTTACAAGGATGCTCACTATTGATTTATATGCATTACTCAACAAATACTTATTGAATACTTCAAATATTCTAAGATTAGGCAACAGGCTGATAACTCAGAAATAAATATGTTCCTAATAAGCACACAGTCAGTAGAGAAGAGAGATAAATACATCAAAATACATCACAATGCAACCTGGGAAGTGTTGTAACGGATGGATGGAACAGTGCCCGGAGAAGGATGTGAGTGATAACTTCACGGGAGGCTGAGGAAGGCTTCATGGAAGAGGTGCCTTCAGTGGAGTCTAGAAGAATGTTTGGGAGACGGAGAAGCAGGAGGGGATATTGGGGCAGAGGCAGCAGTGAGGTGTGAGATACAGTCTAGGAAGAGGGAAGAGGAAGAAGAAATGTCTATAGATTCCAAAAGACCACAGTACGTATGAGAAAGAGGTTTTGCTGGCCAACCGATGCACACGAGGTGAAGAAGATGGTGAGTGGCCTCGCAGGCCCTGTTAATGGAGTTTGGCCTCCATCTTGAGGGAAATGTGGGGCACTGAAAGGTTTTCAGCAGGGGTATGGCAGGATCAGGTCTGGGTTTCAGAAGTAGACCTCTGAGGACAGCCTGGATCACACACAGAATTCTCCAGTCCTCATTTCTGTTGGGGTTTGGGGTGACCTGGAAGGAAGATGGGCTGGGATGTCTTGTGTCTGATCCAGACTTGTAGAGAATGTGCCCAAGTCGCTGGCTGGGCGGACTGCACTGGCTTGTACGTGTTTTCCTGAGCTCTCTCCCTGGGGACGCCACGCTCTGCCACCCTAAGCTCAGGGGACAGAGGCCTCCTATATCTCTGACCCCAGGGACAGCTCTGGGCTGGCTGGACACACACATTCTGAGCCTCACTCTCCCCCCTGCAGCTGGTGAAGACTTCACCTCTGTGGTCTCCGAGATCATGATGTACATCCTGCTGGTCTTCCTCACTCTGTGGCTGCTCATTGAGATGATATACTGCTACAGGAAGGTCTCAAAGGCTGAAGAGGCAGCCCAAGAAAATGCGTAAGTCCAAAGACTTTTTTTTAAACCTATTAAAAACCATTCAGTTTTAGGGGGAGGGTATAGCTCAAGTGGTAGAGTGCGTGCTTAGCATGCGCAAGGTCCTGGGTTCAATCCCCAGCACCTCCTCCAAAAATAAATAAACCTAATTACCCCTCCTCAAAAAACCCAGTTCTATTAATTAGCTTAAATTTCACACATAGCCTAAATAAACCTTTAACAATCCATCTATGATTCTCTGTCAAAATACAGATTATAGGAATTCAGAAGCATTCTTGTTCTTCTGATAGAAGGATCTCAGAATTGTGATTTCTATGGTTTATAAACTGGAGGCTAATTAGTAAATATGGATGTACATTTATTTTATAACCTTTTATGGAAGGGTTACGGAAGGCCAAAATAAAGATAGCTTGCACCTTCAGACAGCTTGCTCTCACAGGTGAGGTGTTAAGCAAGTTTCCACAGTCCTCCACCTTCCTCACAACAACCTTTGAGGTAGGCAGCATTAATATACCCATTTTACAGATGAGAAAACTGAGCCTGGGAAAGTTTGCCCCAGACTGTTCGACAAAGCAAGGTTTGACTTCGTGCCTGCTAACTCTTGCCCTGCACTCTTAGCCATTTATATGAAGCCCATCAGCTGCCAGCACAATCCCATGAAATTACCATTATTATGACCATTTTATAGACACTGAAGCAGGCACATAGAGGGCAAGTGACTTGTGGAGGCCACACAGATACGCAGAGGAGAAGCTGGGATTTGAACGGAGGCTTCTCTGACATCCATGCTCTTCCTGCCACAATCAGCTGTTTGCTGTAGACCACAAGCTCATCGGGCACTGGGCACTGCTCTGTATTAGCTGAGGAGCTCCAAACATGTTCTTCCCCCTGGAACTTAGTAGTGATTAAATACCCAGAGAGGGGCTCTCATTCTCCAGTGTCCAGACCATACCTTGGCCAGTTTTGCCAAGGCCCTTGTCACTCAGGAGTGAGCACATGTAACAGATGATAGGGTCTGAGTGTCTAAGGGGCCACACTGGGCTGTTACTTGGAGGAAAGATAAAAAAGAACCCTCTCTGCACAGGTTGCAATATTGCCGAGGTGATAACCAAAAAACCCTAGGCTATTACCACCTAGAATTGTTTGATAAAGTATCATTTTTCATGATATCTATGATCTCAGGAAAGTAAAAAATTACAACTGACCAGATAGAAGAATAGAAAGAAATGATATGCAGGGGAAGTAGTCATTCCTGGTGGCCTACGTGCTTAGATTTTAGTGCTTCGGCATAGGAAGTGCTCATACTTGGACAGGAAGTGCCTGCACTTACACAGGAAGTTCCCACGCTTGGACAGAAAATGCCTACGACTGGGCTTGCAAAAGAAACAGAGTTGGAACTGAGGTCACCAGCAGAACCAAGATCCTCAGAGAGCTGCAACTCATGCAAAAGACAGATCAGAAAAGAATCAGTCCACCAGCCCAGGGAAGAGCCAAGGAAACACATCTATCTTGGCCTGACTCCAAGCAGAAACATAAAAGATTCTTGAGAATCGGTAACCACAAGCCTGCTCTCACAGTGTCTGGAATTTAAATTTACACTACCCACATGATTCAGGAACCTCTAAGCTGAGAAATTCAATTAAAAAATTAGTCCCTAGACAGTGATAACCATGTAGAGGCAAATGAAAAACTATTCTGAAGGGACCCGCTTTCAGCTGAGGCTTAACAGGGCTCCCCAGATAAAGCATTGTTGAATCTGATTCAACAGTGCAATCCAAAACTAAAAGACACACAGAAAATAATCCAGCACGTGCCAGAGGAGTAGCAAATGGCAGGTTCAAATCCCAGGAACCTCAGACACAAGAAGGACCTGAGCAAATACAGAAAATAAATCCGCTTGAAAGAGTTAAAACAATAAAAGGGGGAACCAAAAGCATAAGGAGAGAAGAAGTTGCTCAGAGAAAGAGAACAGGCAGATCTGAATAGGAATAAAGCAAAATCTGGAAATGAAAAATAAAATTTAAATGGTCGATGAAATTTAGTCAATAAAATTTAAAACTCAATGGATTGGTTCACCAGAGATTACTTACTGGTAGCCAGAAGATAAATGTAAAGAAGTTCCATTGAATGAAGCACAGAGATACAAAAAGATGGAAAATCACAAGGAAATACGAAGGAAAAAATTGAGAAGACCCATTAGAAGAGAGAAAATGGAGGAGAAAAAACACTCAGAGTTATGGTGGCTAAGGAAAGGCATGACTCTTCAGATTCAGAGAGCACAATGTCTCCTGAGCAGGATAAATACATAGAAATCTATACCTAAGTACCAACCATCTTTAAACGGGTAAATGGTGGCTACTAATATAACCTGTAGCAAATACCTGTGTGGCAACTTTAGAAGGATTGCCTGTAGTATCAGAAGCATGTCAAGGATACCACCTCTCCCTGCTTCTGTTCTATATTGTATTGGAGAGCCTAGGTGGTGTACTAAGTAAATACAAAACAAAAAGAGTAGGAATTTTTTTTTTAATGGAGGTACTGGGGATTGAACCCAGGACCTCGTGCTAAGCATGAGCTCTACCAATGAGCTAGACACGCTCCCCAAGAGTAGGAATTGTAAAGAAAGAAATTCACACCCAGTATAATTACTTATCAAGGGAATCTATGGGCAAACTATTAGAACTAGTAAGAGCATTCCATAAGATCATTGATACAAATAAAAATATTTATAAATACTTATATATAAGTATAAATGCATTTATATTTCAGACACAAAAATTTATAAAGAAACATCTAAATATTTAAGACATTTTTAGAAAGTCACTTACAATAGCAACAAATACTCTCCAATACTTGGGGATAAATTTGACAAAAATATGTAAGACCTTTAAGGAGAAAATTACAAAACTTTACCAAAAGATTTAAGTTAAATAAATGGAGACTAAAACCTCGCTGTTACAAACA